ATGGTAGAGGACAGGAAGACCTGGAGGAACGTTGTCCATGGGGTCGGGATGGGTCGGACACGACTTCGCAACTAACAACAATATAAAGATGTGTACAGATGCTCAGTTAGGCAGCAGCCTAGAGCTCAGTTCCAGGACAGCACATTGGAATCAGCGGTACTTAACTTGCACAGGATTGAGCTGTTAGCTCAGAAACATGGGCAGACGGAGGAATGTGCAAGCAAGCAAGGAAATACTTTTGCTGCAAAAGTGAAATGTGTCTCCAGCACATCTCAATAGTAAAAAGGACAATTACCCTTAGTTTAACGCCAGGCATTTTGCTTTTAAACAAGTGTGGCTTGCACAAAACAATTACGTGGTTGGCTTGGTTTGGACTTCATATGCAGATTCAGTCACTGTGGGTTGTTAAACCAGGGTCAAGGACCTGAATTCAAGAACCTGAATTGGCTTATTCAAGAAATAGAGCATAGAATCATAGGGCCTCAGAGGTCTTCTGATCCAACACCCAAGCAGGAGACCTTATGCCATCCCGCTCAAAAGGTGGTCCAGTCTATTTTTGAAAACCTCCAGCGATGGAGCATCTACAACTCCAGGAGGCATGCTGTTCCATTGGTTAATTGTTCTCACTCAGGAAATTTCTCCTTGGGTCTCTCTTTAACAAGCTTCCACCCATCACTTCTTTTCCTGCCTCTGGTGCTTAAATGTGGCTTATTCAAGAAATGTAAGCAAATTAGAGGATAGCAGAGTTGGCCAGGTTCCTTGATTCCAGAATATTGATAAATGAGGTCTACAAAATACCTCATTTGGAATGCTCTCTATCAGCCGGCTAGTTATGCTATTTCCTGATACCTGTTTTTCCATCCTCCTGGATTTCTGCCACCCACTCCCCACAGTAAGCCTTCTCTGATATGTTGGCTATATTTTGCTGTGGTTTGGCACATCAGCTTGCACTTACCCTAATGACTGCCTTTTACATCTTTCCGGGGTTCACAAGGCTGAGAAAGGCACTCATTATTGGGTTCTGTAAGCAAGAAGCCAAGAGGGTGAATTTCTGCAGTATGTGGCTGTGATGAGGAAGGCCATTTAAGGACTTTGATAAGAAGATGGGGGGGGTGTGTGGGGGGGAGAAATCTTCTTTATAAAGGTGCAGACAGGAAGATGGCAATTTTGAAAGGAGGATCAATGAGTTGACCGTGGCGAATTGGCTGCAGTGACTTGGCTATGGCGAGTTGTCCCATTCTGTCAATCTTTGCCTAGCCCAGAGGCCAAAATGTCAAAGGTCTTGAGCAGATGAGCTACGCTACAGGGGAAAAAAAATGAGTGATGGGTGCAAAGCGCCCTCTGTCGGCAGAAAGAAAGAGTATTTTGAGATTCCATCTACCGTGCGAGGCAATTTGCAGTAATTTTGCCCTGCAAAAAAGAGAGAAGGAGATCCATTCTTGCATTAGAGATAAGAAAAGATAACCTTTATTGTCGTTTTTTTTTTTACTGTGGGCACAACGGCACACATCAAAAATGAAATCTAGTTTGCCCGCTCTCAAAGTGAAACACATACATGATACACACCTAAAGAGCAATAGCATTTAGACCAGTGGTTCTCAACCTGTGGGTCGGGATCCCATTTGGGGTCAATCGACCATTTCACGGGGGTCGCCAAGCAAGGCTGTCCGCCATTTTTTTTGTCCGCCATTTTTTTGTCCGCCATTTTTTTCCCCCTTTTCCGGCGGGTGCCTTACCTCCCTTGGGCTGGGCCAGCTGGTGGTCGGCCTGCTCCGTCTCTGCCGCTTGCCAGCTACGCCTCGGCCGGCGCAGGGGTTGGAACCACGCATGCGTGGCGCTCCCGGGCAGGGAAAGTCCTCGACTTATGACTGGTTGGGTAGTCCTCAACTTACGACTGGCTTAGTCCTCGACTTACGACCGGTTTAGTCCTCGACTTACGACCGGTTGGGGGTCGCGGCATTAAAAAGGTTGAGAACCACTGATTTAGACTTATATAACAAACCCCACCCCACCCCACACACACATACAAATAGCACTTTATAGGACTCTCTCTGGGCAACTCACAATGCAGAAGCATTATTTGCATATTGCTTCCGGCAATCTGGGTTCTCATTTTACTTGACTTCGGAAGACCCATGCGTGTTATCTTAATCAGCTGCACCATCTGTAAGATACAATGAAGTCCTGGTGAAGCTCTTTCCTATCAAATTAATTTTTTTTGAGAGGATTGGGAATGGGATTTATATGTGCTTCATCAGAGCTGATATTTATTTGAAGGCTTATTATACCAAGAGTATGCAATATTTTTGAGGCTGACAGCCACGGTTGGGTCTTAGATAGCATGCTAGGGAACGTCCTCCGAAGAGTGGATGGTCCTTAAGATTTGATTTCTTTTTCATTATTTAATCTAGGTCTCAGGAGGTGGAAGCAACTGTCTGATCTGATTTGGGCTGGCTAGTAGTGGAATAAGAGTTCCTTCAGGAAATCTTGGCTTGTAAGCTATATGGAAGAAAAAAATTCTAGAAGAGTCCCAAAAGGCAGCTGGACTTTTTTTGTTTTTTTCTCTTGAAGAACATTTCCCTTCTCATCCAAGAAGCATCTTCAGTTCTTCAGACTTTGTCAGCAAGGTTTGGAAACCAAAACTGGATCCAGATAAGACTTCCACATTTCAGCAAGTGAGGCTGTCAAGGTAGGGAAGAAACAACTGCTACAAATCAGCATATTAGGTGACAGAACTAACTTCAGCCCTGCCCCAGACCACATATATCCCATGCTGGTCCTCTGCCTGACCATGACCTATTTTAAATCAGAACCGAGGAAGCTTCTTGGATGAGAAGCGAAACATCTTCAAGAGAAAAAACAAAGTCCAGTTGCCTTTTGAAAAAGCATCTTTGGGACAACCATGACCTGGATGACTGAGAAATCTAGAAGAAGAGAATCCCAAATTCCTTCCATATTTTTGCCCGCTCCCCCAGTCCCATTTCCATGGCGGTATCTACATAATTACCAAGATTTGAGCTCAGTTGAAGAAAGCAGTTACTTTTTATCATATATATATAGTAATTTCTTCAGTCACCTTAAGAATGAACCTGTGAACATCTACTGAGTCTGCTCTTTCAATGCTAAGAGTTGAAAAAAAAGTTGGCTTGCCAACCACTTAGAGTTCTCTGTTTTAAACTGCCCTTGACCCAGGTTATATAAAACCAGTCTCTAAAAGACACAACCACATATGTATACTTTTCTAGGCTAAGTGAGCCCAAGGCAGGCAGAGAACCATGGGTACAAAAATGCAGCATCATAAAATGTTTTAGATTCAAAGAATAGAAAAGAACAAAGATGTACTGAGAAGTGGTTTTCCCAGTGGTTTAAAAAAAAACAAACAGGTTTTGGAAACTTTGGAATTAAAATGTTTTATGGCACTTGGAGAGCCATAAAAGCATTCCGAAATAGTTTTGCCCAGATAGGTAACAGTACTTAGCTGACCTTGGCTGATCATAAAAAAGTCTAAGCAGGATCACTTGGAGAAGACATCCGTAGGAAATACCGGAATTATAGGCTAGATGGAAAAGTTAGTAAAAGTTCCTTGAAGAAGGAAATTACAAGCCACTTCAGGACTGCTGCCAAGGAACTGGCCATCTTTGTGCTGTCACCGGAAATTGAACTCAAAGGAATCTTTATCCTTTAACTGTAGACGTCTGTGCTGTTATGCGCTCAAGGATACTTGCATCATTTAAATTTAAAAAAAAAAAGATGAAACACAGCAGAGAAAAACCACGAAAAGTGGTTTATGGAGGAATCCATGAATTCTGAGGGAAGAGGAACCACCTTCTAAATATGTTCATTTTATGTATCAAATGTAGAGACCACCTGTCTCACAGGGGGAAATAAAAGGATGGTTTCATGAAGTCGTGACACTTGGAAAGGACTGTCAAGCTCCAGCTTTTGAACGATTTTTTTTTTTCAGGAGATGCAGATAAAAGTCAGATTCTAAATGCAAAGAAACCAAACCAAACAAAACCATCTTCCCAAACAGGATAGGAGTTTCTAATAGACTATATATATATAAAAAAGATCCAAGCATCATTTGAAGTTTGGAAGCCAGGCAGAAATTCAAAGGTGGGACGAAAAAGCATGGATGAACTCGGGTCCTTAAGAAGGCCGTTTAAAAACCTTAGTTGTACCGAGACATTTATTTTCCATGGAATGGAATGGAATGCACAGATTGTAGAATAGAATAGAATAGAATAGAATAGAATAGAATAGAATAGAATAGAATAGAATAATAACTTTAAATGTACACTAATCAGCATACATTAACATGAGATTTCATTGCATACAGCAATTGGGTATGTCTAGTTTAACGAAGAGAAGGACGAGGGGGGACATGATAGCAGTGTTCCAATATCTCAGGGGCTGCCCCAAAGAAGAGGGAGTCAAGCTATTCTCCAAAGCGCCGGAAGGCAGGACAAGAAGCAACGGATGGAAACTAATCAAGGAGAGAAGCAATCTAGAACTAAGGAGAAACTTCCTGACAGGTAGAACAATTAACCAGTGGAACAACCTGCCTCCAGAAGCGGTGAATGCTCCAACACTGGAAGTTTTTAAGAAGAGACTGGACAGCCACTTGTCCGAAATGGTATAGGGTTTCCTGCCTGAGCAGGGGGTTGGACTAGATGACCTCCAAGGTCCCTTCCAACTTTATCATTATTATTATTATTATTATTATTATTATTATTATTATTATTATTATTATTATTATTATTATTATTATTATTATTATTATTATTATTATTACAGCTCTCAAAGGGTAATACACTGCATAAACATAACAAAAATAAATAAAATAAATTATGCATATACCCACATGCACACACATAGGTGGCCCAGAGACCAGACCAATGGCCTGAGGAACAAAGTTATTACAGAATCTGGTAGTCCTACTAGATGGTCTAACCTGGATGGTTTCTCCCTTCTCTTGACAGGTTTTCCTTCCAGTTCCAGAGTTTCCCAGAAACGATGCTCGTCCCCCTGGTGGTGATGCTGCTACAGATTGGAAGTACTCACGGCGGCCTCCCTTTCTACAATGGCTTCTACTATGACCGAGACATGAATGATAAAGGTGATGATAAAGGAGATGGAGAAAGTAGCGTTTGGACAGGAAAATGAGTACCTGGCTTGGTGGGCAGAGAAAAACAGTTGATTCACTGAAAATTTATAGAAAAACCAGGGCTCCAAAATGAGAATATTACAGCGTACGGGAGAAAAATAAAAACTGTAGTTGGGCCTTCACAATTTTCCATTTAACTTTGATATGATTTATGGACAACTGGGTCAGAGAACTCTTTGACCTAACAAGAAATGTGCACATTTTATAGCAGTGCAGTTAGTTGCAAATTACATTAAATGGCAAAAAGAGCTCTACTGAGTTAGTGCAAGGTCCATCTTACTCCAGCCTTTTGTTTGCCTGCGGGGCAGTTTAAGGCCCTTGGGCCACATCTGGTCCTTTGGTTGTCCCTGTCTGGCCCACAGGGTTTGCTTATATTTTGAAGGCAACTGCTATTATTTTTCAATTTCTCTATGTGAGTGTGTGCATGCCATGTACTTTCACTTCCCTATTGGTTCAGTCCTCCACAATAGTCCACTTTCTGATGTGGCCCCTTGGGAAAATCTATTGCCTGGCCCTGCTTTAGGGTGTCTGCAAACAGGAGCTGGAGACGCATCTTCTCCCACTGTTCTTCACCTGAGACACACCTTCTCCCACTGTAGTTCACCTACGATGCACCTTCTCCCACTGTAGTTCACCTGAGATGCACCTTCTGTCACTGTTGTTCACTTGGGACACACCTCCCACTGTAGTTCACCTGAGACACACCTTCTCCCACTGTTGTTCACCTAACCTGGCATTTTGAATTGTCTTGCCTGACATCTGACCTTGGCTTCTTCCTTCTTCAGCTCTGCTCAATGGTGTTCGATTGACGGTGGAGACCTCCGAAGATGCCATCTTTACCCAGCGTGGTGCCAACATTACACTGCCCTGCCATTATCACTATGCACCTAAGCTGGATGCCCCTCGCAGGATACGCATCAAATGGTCCAAGCTTCGGGAAGACAACTCTAAAGACCGAGACGTGTTGGTGGCATCTGGGCGAAATCACCGCAGCTTTGGCGAGTTCCGTGGACGGACTCATCTGCAGCAAGATTCTCCTGACGAAGTTTCCCTGGTGATTAATGACTTGCGCTTGGACGATGCCGGGAAATACCGCTGTGAAGTCATTGACGGTCTGGAAGATGAAAGTGGGACCGTGGATCTAGAACTGCAAGGTGGGTAGGATGGAGCTGATGTGACCAATAGCCTGAGGTATTATGATGTGATTAAGAAGTTGGCCTTGAACTGGGGAGACCCAGTTGATCTCAGAGCTTCTGGATGATGTTGAGAGAGACAGATGCTGTCAGGCAGGAAGAATCAGGACTGCACATTAAGTTCTAGTTAAGATGGTTCTGTTGATCATCCAGTTAAGATGGTCATGCTTTTTCACAAGAATCAAGGCAACTAATGGTCAGCACTAAAATGGCACTAGATAAGAATCAACAGAATTCAAGGGGGCTGGACTCAGATTGCTTATGACAACGTAATGATTCTAGACTGATTACTCTCTTGACCCCACTTCCAGGTTCTGCCTGCTCTTCTAAAGATACATTTCCCTCACTAGGTTATTGTAGTAATAAAATAGAGGGCAATTTCCATATATGTTCTCTTGAGCTTTCAGGTAGCTTTCAGACAGATGCAAAAATATATTAAAAATGTACAACCAAGCCACAGAACGAGATGTCTCCAAATCGTAATTGTATTAAGAGAACGTTGCATAACGATGAATATATTCTTGAAAAACAAATTAAAGGGTATAACTCATGGGACAGCTATGTACCCTAGACAAAAGAGTAAGGAGAAATGTGTATTGGAGAAAGAGATGTAAAAATGTGTGTGAGGCTTTTAAAAGTATGTGTATGGAGTGAAGATATGACTGCAAAATGCAAAAAACGAGACATTTAAATGGATGCATTAGCTTCTGAGTAGCAAGAAGGTATTTTGCTGTTTTATTTAGAAACTTAGTAAGGTCAACAAAAATGATAGCTAGGCAGCTGGATGGATGGATGAATGGATCGATCGTTCAATCAATCAATCATTTATTTTGGTAAGTGACCAGATAACATTAGAGTTTCTTCTTCTTTTTGGCCACCAGATGTCACTAGCAATCTGTCATTTCTTTATTGGTATCATTTTGATGTAAGCAGCCTATTGTGTGATTGCTTTGACATAATCCAGATCTAAAGCAAAGATAGGCCCTCTGCAATCTGGAGATACATTTTAAAAACCATTTAAAAAACATTTCTTGCTGACTAAAAATTCCAGCTGTTACTATCAGTAGGGCTAGCGGCGAGGGAGGCTATGTGTGTTCCAGTGGAAGAACGTCTAGATTGCCACAAGTTGCCCACCTCTGCTTTACACATTTTTTTCCCCCCAAGTTAAAATCATTTAAGTTGGGTTTGATTCACTCCTCCAAATTCCGGACATCAGTGTGATCGTGTACTTTGTTCTGAATGTTGCACTATCCCGTTATGAAATGCACAGATTCAGTAATCTTTTCATTTACTGTATATTCCAGTGGTGGCGAACCTATGGCACGGGTGCCAGAGGCGGCACTCAGAGCCCTCTCTGTGGGCACCCGCGCCGTCGCCCCAGTCCTAGGCCTTCAGCTGGGTTTTATAAAACCTTTTCGCTTTAGGCCTCCACCGCCGTGTGCAAAAAAAAAAGGTTCAATCAATCAGTCAATTTCAACTTCTCATGGGAAAAAAAAGATCTTGCAAAGTTGGAATTGATTGATTGAACTTTTTAGTCCCACCCAGTCTGCCGTTACCACCGCAGCCACGCCCACCCAATGGGCCACACCCACCCAATGGCCAGATCCCATCCGGCACCCGACGATGCATAAGTGGGTTTTGGGTTGTAGTTTGGGCACTCGGTCTCTAAAAGGTTCGCCATCACTGGTATATTCATTCATTTTTTCCCAATTCAGGAGTGGTCTTTCCTTACCAGCCTCCCCACGGACGCTATAAGCTTAACTTCCACGAAGCCAAGAAGATCTGTGAAGACCAGGATGCAGTAATAGCTTCCTTTGACCAGCTCTTCAAGTCCTGGTTATACGGCTTAGACTGGTGCAATGCTGGTTGGTTGATTGATGGCACAGTCCAGTACCCTATCACGGTACCACGGGAACCTTGTGGTGGGTCTCACTTACAACCTGGTATCCGAAGCTATGGAGAACGTCACAAGAACCTCCATCTCTTTGATGTCTTTTGTTTCTCTTCTGCTCTGAAAGGTGAGTGCTGTTATCTTAGGGACAGTGACTATTTTTTAGAAGCAGATGTATTGAGAAAGAAGTGATAGGCTGGGGATCTTTTCTCTTTTTGGTGAGGTCCATGTTCTGATACCATTTGTGATCCAGTGGTAGCGTGTCCTGTACACATGTCTGCCTTTGAAGGAGCTTTGGAAACAGCAATTAATCAAATGAAAAGGACCAAATGACTAGACTATGGACTGGACCAGTTGATGGGGACATAGGGAGCTGTCTTCAAAGATAGACTATGGATTCATTGTTGGACCTCTTAGCTTAAAGAGGTCAAGGATGGAATAACTTTTTCATGGGAAAAAAAAGTGTTCTTGCATTGAGTTGTATTTTGTAGCTCACCATAATAGAACTTCACTTTTGGATACATATATAAGATAGTCTTCTTCTCTAACACAGGAGCTAGGCTGTGAAAGCGTCTCCTTAGACACTTGCTGTCTTGAAAACTTTAAATGTTGCATCATTTTACTTATTTTGTTTGGCTTTCGCCTTGAGTTGAAACCAACCTTAACTACAATTTTGCTGGGTTTGGTGGTTCATTAATCTCCCATCACCCAGTGAGTGCCCTTGATATTTATTGAACTGCAATTCCCAACACCCTCAGCCAATGTTCTGTTAACAGCTGTCATTGTGTACAAATAAGAGGATACCTTTTTTTTTTACAGTGGTTCAACTCACATATCACTTGCTTATCACCTTAAACTTTAGGTTAGCACAGCGCAGAAACTCATCCAACGAGTCTTGCAAACCTCTGTTTATGCCTTAGCATTGTGTCATCTCTACCCCTCTGACTTGTTTAACAAATCATGTTTAGCATGAACTATGTTAGCCAACAATTGGCTTGTTTGATTATAATAAGCTCAACTGGTAGATGCAAATCTAAGCAGCTGCAATACATTCATTCTCTTTTCTATTTAGCAATTCTGACTTTTTATTATATATATATATATATGATACAAAATAAAAATGCGAACACCAGGAGAATATAAAACAATTAAAAGTTTAGTAAAAACCTTAAAAACTTTTAAAAGAATACAATCATAGGGGCCAAGCTTTCGTCGGAGCCTTCTGACATCCTCAGGGCACAAAGTTAATCAATGGGAAAAGCATTAACTTTGTGCCCTGAGGATGTCGGAAGGATCCGACGAAAGCTTGGCCCCTATGATTGTATGCTTTTAAAAGTTTTTAAGGTTTTTACTAAACTTTTAATTGTTTTATATTCTCCTGGTGTTCGCATTTTTATTTTGTATCATGGATATTCCCAGGAGTCATTCGTTTGTCTTCTATGTTGTTTGCAACCATATATATATATTTAAAAAATACATGAATATCAGTAAAATATTCTTTGACCACCCGAATAGGGACTGTCTACTATCTTGAGCACAAGAAGAAATTCACCTTAGAAGAAGCCAAGCAGGCATGCCAGGATGACCAAGCCGAAATTGCCAAGGTGGGTCAGCTCTACTCAGCGTGGAAATTCCTGGGCTTGGATCGCTGTGATTCTGGCTGGCTGGCAGATGGCAGTGTGCGCTACCCCATCGCTTCTCCCCGACCCAACTGTGGTCCACCAGAACCAGGCGTCCGAAGTTTCGGCTTTCCCCAAACTGGGAAATTTGGAGTCTACTGTTACAAGATGAGCTAAGGAGAAGCTTCCTTCATCCGTGGACAGTGTCCTTTTTATCACCACTAGAGTTTATTATTATTTAAAGGGCCAGTCTCTGGGGGAGGGGGGTCTGTTTTAACTGTATGTTTTCAAGTTTCTGTTTTCTTCTGTGGGTTGTTTTTTATTTTTTAAAAAAACACACTTTTGTAATGAAACCAAAAATGCCGTACAAGCTGTGAGGTGGAAATTGAGTTGCCTTGGTGCTGATTGGAAGAGCTTCCGGCTTCGTTGCCCATTTAATCATGCGGTCGGAAAACCTGAGCTTAGAGACGGGGCACGTGCAAGTGAGAAGAGGCTCATCTTTTTATGATGTCTTTTGCAATGGGCTCCTGACAACACCTGTCAGTCAGATTAGGAAGCCATCTGAAGTACCAGTTAGGCAGCTCTCAACTCTCTCGAGAAAGGAATTCCTGCTCCAGTGCAACATTCCCAACTCTTAGTAGCATACGATCTCAAGTGGTCCAATATGTACAATGTCATGGTTCCGAAGAATCAGCTTTTCCAAGAACTTTGAGGCTTTGTTTACCTTAAAGAATCCTTTTATTGCTACATAGCTTCGGCACGTACACAATGAAGCCAAAAACTGAATCCTCCCACCCCCAATCACCCGTAACAAAGCATAACTCACTCCTTCATTTTACAGTCATCAATCACGTTCTCCAATTAGTTTGAAGTGTGAACTGTCCCTCCCGTAACTCCTCTGGTTACAGCTGACCTTGGCAATGCTGTACTGAAACATTGTTGTGGTTAATTATCATACTTTCCCATCTGCTATTCTAACATTGTCTGACTTTAACTCTAGACGTGATATGCAGGCTAAATAAAACATGTTTGCTTCTTCATATATGGCAAGCAAGAACATCCAGTGTTAGCAGTCTTGACAGACAACTTTTAAACCGAAGTGGCTGTTTTAACGGCTCAGGACACTGTAGGATAAGTGACTGCATTATTACTTAAAAGGCCTCGAAGGATCAGAAATAAGATGTGTTTGTCTTCTGGCTGATTGGCAAGAATTCTCCGGGCGAAAATGGATGCAGAAGAGGCTGTTTCTTGATATCTTTTCTCCCGTTCTTCAGGATGTCAGTATGAACTGGGGAAAATGTGATTCCTTCCAATAAATGGTGAATTGGACCTAGATCCATACTGAGCAGCGCCTGTTATGTCACGAATTCATCCCCTCCTCTCATCTTTTTATAAAGTGACAAGAAAGTGGAATGGCTGGCCGGAGTTAACACAATAGGCTCTGCTGTCTTGTATTTTGTTTGGTGCTGGCGTTGATAGTTGTGCAACCTCAACCATTCAGTAAACCATAGTTAAACGATGGCTTGGAATAATGTCTGACTCGAGGTTTCTATCTTTGTACAGCCATACACATAAACCTCCTCTAACTTAGAGTTAGACCAGTTTGAGGAGAAAACAAAGAATCATTTACAATCTGATGTTCAGCTTGCTATAAGGGCAGGCGAATCTGGGCCTGGATTAACGCATCTCACTAAGCCATATTGTTTTGTCGCTTTTTGTATGCAGAACAAACGAAAGTCCGTTAAGGGAACAATTGCTTCCTTACCTTTTGTATTGTCAAATGTGACTTGAACATTGTCTTGTGGGGTCTAAAGATGGGGGGTCTCTGGGATGTCTGCTAATAAAACTGGGAAGAAACCACACAAAGAAGTAACTTGGAGATCAATTGCATACTCCGTCCTGATTACAGAAGCTGCCCATCAACCAATCCTCAATTTCTCCAGAAGTCTTTTTTTCCCCTGCCCGATTCTACTGGAACAGAAATAGCACCGAGGTGGGTAGTGGGATAACAAGTTTAATTCAGCGCATTTTGGAGCAGGATGGAATGAAAGTGTTGAAAAGTGAGATGCATTGGGTGGAGGGGTGGGAAGGAAACATGGTAGGGGAGTGGGGGGGGGGCAAAGGAAAAACTGGAAGGCTGATGGAAGGGGCTTTGAATGAGCTACATTCATAATGACTAATGAAAGGTCTTTGCTGTTTAGAGCACAGATTGAAACTCTCTGCCTAAACATCGAAATCAAATTAAACTCCCTCTTTACGTGAAGAGTCTAAATCGTTTGCAGAGGTTGCTCTACTGGTCTTACAGTTAAAGTCAGATTAAGACTGCAGGGGGACGTTACCACGTTTTGGGCTCAGACGGCGTTGACCCCTTTGCTGTGTGTAGGACAGCACAGGGTCTGCTAGAGAAGTGTATCTTCGTCTCTTTCCTGCTTACTTTCCTAATAGCTTTGTACCAATAAAGGAGCATATTTGTAGCTCATAGTTGGAATGAGGGGTCCTTAGTGCTTTTGCAGCTTGCTTGTTTTTTTGCGGGCGTTTCATTAGCCTAACTAGGTAACATCATCGGTGCTAGTCCTGATGATGTTATCTGATGTTATCACTAGCGCTGATGATGTTACCTAGTTTGGGTAATGAAACGTCTGCAAGAAAACAAGCAAGCTTGGAGAGCACTAGGGACCCCCCACAGTCCTCTTCCTCCTCCTCCTCCTCCAACTCCACCTCCTGCTCCTCCTGCTCCTCCTGCTCCTCCTGCTCCTCCTGCTCCTGCTCCTCCTCCTCCTCCTCCTCCTCCTCCTCCTCCTCCTCCTCCTCCTCCTCCTCCTCCTCCNCTCCTCCTCCAACTCCTCTACCTTCTAGCGCTGATGATGTTACCTAGTTTGGGTAATGAAATGTCTGCAAGAAAACAAGCTTGGAGAGCACTAAGGACCCCCACAGTCCTCCTCCTCTTCCTCCTCCAACTCCAACTCCTCTACCTTCTAGCGCTGATGATGTTACCTAGTTTGGATAATGAAATGTCTGCAAGAAAGCAAGCAAGCTTGGAGAGCACTAAGGACCCCCACAATCGTCATCCTCCTCCTCTTCCTCCTCCTCCTCCAACTCCTCCTCCTCCAACTCCTCCTCCAACTCCTCTACCTTCTAGCGCTGATGATGTTACCTAGTTTGGGTAATGAAACGTCTGCAAGAAAACAAGCAAGCTCAGAGAGCATCAAGGATTCCTAATAGCTTGGTCATAAAGCCCCTCGGCTACCTTCTTCTCACCCACTTGGATGCTAGCACTGTTATGATTTCAGGACTATAAAATGGAGCTTTCTACCACCCTGCTGTTAAAGAGGAAAAATAATGATTTGAGGATAAGAACCATGTGACTATAAGGAAAGTAAGCAAGCACAACGGGATGAGCGTTTGTAAATGTTAACAAACCCACCATAAAAGGATGTACAACATAGGAGGATGCTTCAGCCAGCAAATGTCAACTCTTCAGCCAGCAATGTCAACTCTTGAAGACTGATGTTAGGTGTATTTTTTGAAGGCTCTGTCACCATCTCCTCCTTGTGGGTCTTCTGAGCTAAGAGGGTCTTAGCTGTCCCCCCTTTTTGGACATGACCCTACAGCACCCACAAGCGCTGCACGTAGCCCGATAATCAAATACATTCACGCATCCAGGTGCACCTCCCTCCTCCTCCTCAAGTGCATGCAAATAGCACCTCAGCCAGGATAAATTACAACAACTTTTATTGTACAGGATTCACCACAGCACTAACAACAATAGGCTTGGCTCTTTTCCATTCCAGATTTGCTTTTTTTTTGTGCACAGGACTTTAAAAGAAGAAAACAAAATAAATCTGGGGCTCTTTTCCTTGATGTCTTTTTTTTCCCCTTTTCCTTTTGCAAAATGAAAAAGCTCTTCCTGGTTTTGTTCACCCCTCCCACTCTTCCCCTGCCCCAGACATTTTCCCCATTCCCCACTGAATACAGACCACATACTCAAAGCTGGGCTCCGACCAGCATCTCAGAGACATTGGCAAGTCCATTTAAGTTACTGTAAAAATGACTTTCCTCTCGATTTCCTCTCTGTTTTCAGTGAATATAACATATGTATTTTAAAAAATATAAATAGGTGCAGGGAATCTCAAGTGCCCTGCACCATTCCCTGTGAGAGAGAATACACCATCTCCAGATGGGAGCTGCTTTGCCTGCCACGTGTCCCGGGGGTGGGGGGGAATAAAACTGCAGCGAGAAGAAACATAGGCATGTGAAGTTGCGTGACCGTTCGCCCCAGCCCATTCCCACAACATAACAACGGGGAGAGGGTGAACGAGTCAGAAAAGATGCAGTGTCAGCTTCGGCTAGGACCAGCAGAGTCTTGACCACAAAGGTGTCTGGAGCTGAAAAAGCGCAGTAAAGGTGTGGAGTTTTGTCTCGCTCCCTTCTTACCTGTTTGCATTTGAGCGGAGCTGATGCTCTGGCCAATTTCAACGTCCACAAGTGATTTTGACATTTTGCATTTATTTAAAGGAATGAACATATCCCAAACAAGCCATCAGGATGAGGTTGA